TCTCAGCACAGCTTCTTTTCCACCTCTGTGCCTCTGGCCCTCATGCCCACTAAATCAGAGGGGAGGTGGTGGCAGAGTCCAAGGGAAGCCTGGCTCTGAAGTCTGCCCATACTGCAATTCACTTAAGTGGAAAACCAAAAGCGACCGCCAAGAATGTTTTCAATGTTCCACTGTCCTTTGCACACACTCAGGCAGCTGCACGGGGTTTGGTAAATGGACAGGGAAGTAAAGAGGTTTCTCAGAGATCATGTGTGTGACTTTCAGACCTGAAAGCTGCAAGCAACATCATCTTTTCGAATGGAGACTTGGATCCCTGGGCAGGTGGTGGAGTAAGTATCTGCATCACGGTGGGCTGTGCACGTGTGGGAGATACCCCAGTGGTTAACACTATACAGAAAGGGGGAGCTAAGCCAGGCTCACAACCCCCACTTCAGGGAAATGTCAAACAGCTACAGAATTGCTTGTACCCATTCTGTTCAATAGGCGTTTTTGTGCTGCTAAGCTCGTTGGCAGCCCTAGAACATTTGTGGCAAATGGAAGTTCTGTTTTTGTGCCAGAGAGGATTTGGTTATATTGACTCTTTGCACTAGCAGCTGCTGGCGCAGACTTTGGTGACATAGGACAAGAACCAGCTGTGACCATACCACCCCTCACTCCACCTGGAAAGCCAACTTCTTCCCGGCTCTGTGCTCCAGCAATAACGCCCTAGCTTCCAGCTGCTGAAGAGAAGATTTGTGCAAACTAAAACTGAATTCATTCTCCTCAGCGGCCTGGTGGACCATGGTAATGGCCAAAAGGCTTGTGGTCCTGGAAGGTCTGAACGTTTTATTGGGGAAATAAACCAGGACACACAAGTTGAAGCTTTTCATGTGTAATGTCAGTTTCATTTCTGAAAGCACATTGACATGTTGGGAGTGGGAGGAAACCAAGAGCCTATGGTAATCCTGGCACACCAGTACCTGTCCTGCTAATGACTCTGCCGGTGTCCTCTTCCCCTTTCTAGCACTGTCTCTGGCTTTAAAGCCTGAATTCAACACACTTGCCTGGTACCAGGAACTTAACTTGCGCATCTTCTCATTCCAGATAAAAAGTAACCTCAGTTCCTCACTCATTGCAATAACCATTAAGGAAAGCGCTCACCATCTGGATCTGCGGTAGGTATCCTGGGACAGTCAGGCTTGCTTCCTGCCTCCCCCTTGAGCTGGGCCATCCCAGCAATGAAAGACAATTGAATCCTCAGCAGGAGGCAGCCCAGCAGCCCCCGGCAGGAAGTTGCTGAAACAATGTTTGGAAGAAGAGCCATCCCCTTACTTAGCTCTGCTTCTCCCTCAGCATGGAAACGGTATTTGGTTCCCACCTGCAGTTTCCTCCGGTTCACTTGGGTTGCATCTAGTCTGGCAGGATTTTCCGCAAATGCTTTTAACGGAAAAGTTTTTCTGTTAAAAGCATTTGCGGAAAAGAGCGTCTCGATTGGCACGGATGCTTTTGTGCAAAAGCACTTTTTGCGGAAAAGCGTCCGTGCTAATCTAGACGCAGTTTTGCACAGGAAAGCCCCGATCGCCGTTTTCGCCATCGGGGCTTTTTTGCACAAAACAGTTTTTAGCTGTCTACACTGGTCTTCTTACGCAAATACACGGGAGCATCATAGTATTTGCACAAGATCACTGACAATCTTACATTAGATCATCAGTGTTCTTGCGCAAATTCAAGCGGCCAGTGTAGACAGCTGGCAAGCTTTTCCGCAAAAGTGGCTGCTTTTGCGGAAAAACTTGCCAGTCTAGACACAGCCTTGGTGTCATCTGTGAGAGGGCCCCTCAGAGCAGGGCTTGTGCCAAGTTACTCTCAGTGCAAGCTCCTTTACAGGCAAATGATTTCTCCTCCCACCCCTCACTCCCTAGCCAGCCTTCTGCTCGTCACTCGGGGCAGCCTAATGCAGCCCTGCATGGTGACAGGCCTGGTCTCAAGCTTGTCTTCCTTAGTCACATGCTGGATGGTGCTTTGGCTCATGCTGTAACTTACTGCTCAGGGTTACACATGACTAGAGCAGTTGAAAGCTGCACAGTTGGATGGTAAGTAGGCAGCACGGCTATAGCCTTGTTTGCTGTGGTAGGAACTAATCTAAACATGAGCTGGGGCACTTCATGGCGTGGCTGGAACATAAGGCTGGCTCCTTGCTGCAGGGTGGGGGGAGTAGTAGAGAGCTGGCTCTGCCTGGCAGCGGGAAGTAACTCAGAGCAGGTCTGGCCCCTGGGCTGGCATGCGAGGGGAACCCTACAGCCTTGAGTTGCGGTGAGCGCAGTCATTCTTTTTTCTGCTTCTCAGCTGGGGGCCAGATCAGTGCAGGTTGGTGTCTTGTTTTTTTGTTTCTCACTTGTGTGGCTCCTGACTGAGATTTTCTGTGGCTCAGAGGGATATGGACAACTAACTGTGTGTATTGTGTGGCATTCCCTGCAGAGGATATAATCCAGCAGACCCTCCATCTGTCACAGCTGCACGCAACCTAGAAGCAAGGATTATCCATGACTGGGTGCAATCTGCAAGGACTGAGAAGCCCTGGGAGAAGATGTCTGTGGGTAGATCACTGTGAAGATAGTCAGCCAGCCAGAGTGCTGTGCTGCTAGTATTGGTACCAGAAAGCACAAGGGTTGCAGCCTACGAGCCAAGTCTGCACTGACCGTTTGATGAAAATGCCAATTTAAGTGGCTCTACCATGGTGATGAAAATTCACCTCCTAAGCATCCTGTGAGTGAGTCAAGTCTGTGTCAAAAGAAAACGAGTAGGCCAAATCCATTGACTAAAGGCAACAGCACTTGGTGCCAGCCACATGCTTACCTGTATTGTGTTAAAGATGTAATTGTCATCGGAGGAGAGAATAAAAGCTTGCCTGGAAGTGTTAGACCATTCCTCAGGAACTGGGTCATACTTCACATATGTGCTTTCCAGAATGACAGAAGAAAGCATATGGCCTTACTTGAGCAAAAGGTATTATTCACAATCCCCATAGCACTGTAGTGGTACACAGAACTATAGGATGCACGTAAGATTATATTCAGCTAGAAACTGTCTTCAAAGAAATGCTAAAAGTTCTCTTGGGTGATCTGGGAAGTAGAATGAGAATACTAGTTGTAACATGCAGTGAGCAGTAGGGTTCAGCTGAAGAGACCACTTGATCCGGAAAGATTATATTGACTTTAGTCAGCTGTGTAGTAGTGCTTTGTCTCAAGTTACCACAATGTGGACAGCTATTGTACTGGAAATAGCATTATTGTCATTTCCAATTAAGACACCTACACATTTTAAAATAAATTACAAGTTTATTAAAGTATGTGATAGAATTCCATGGGCTGGCTTTTGAATATAATCAAAGGATACAAAAAATTTTCTATCCCTTTGAGGTGAAATAAATTCACCTTTGCACATTAACGAGTAGACTCTTACCTACTGCAAATACTGTATACCAATAAATACCAGCAAGACTGCAAAAATATTACATCTTAGTAATTCTATGTCTTAAAGTAAAATATCATCTTACAATGATTACACTGGGTGGGGAAAGCATTTGGAAAGCCTCCACCAAAGGGTCATCCCAGGCTAATGTTACTTAGGTGGGCAAAGTATAGGACTTGTTCAGGTTCTTACCCCTTGCTCAAGGCAATGCTCAGTGTTGGTTAATATTGACACTAGCATATCTCTACTTCCACCATGCCACAGCTGGTTCATGTAGATACTCAGGCCACTGCTTGATATTTTTTCAAAGGATTCAAAGCAGACTCCAGGAACTGGGAGTACGTTTCCCACAGAGTGAGGAGTAGTAAGTAGATTCATACAGATTAAGCTGAAACATTCCAGCATTAGCAGTGTCCATAGTGCCCTGGGAGAGGTGGTGTTGAATGTCACTATAGAGGGAGAGACAGGAAAGGAGTAAAGTCACCTGCCCCCTCCCAAGATAAGCCAAAGCCAGGTGGATGTTTCTCTTGGCAACTGTTTATTCTTCCTCTGCTACAGAAGCTGCCTTTCTAGCATTCCCAGCTCCAGGAAAGCAGGAGCCACACAGACTATGCCAGTGATGAGAATCTGCCTGACACATGATTCATTAACAAAGCAGATAGGCAAGCTCTAAGCCTCCTAGAAAGTACTCCAAATTACAGTCTGAACAGATGGTGGCCAGTGGGGACTTCTAACTTTCTACTTCAAGAGGCGTTAAGAGCTCACCTGTGTGAAAAATTCTAATACACAAAATTTAACACCAATGCAGCCAAGCTGGCTGGATTAAGACTACACCAGTGGCTGTGTTAACATAAGGCTAATCATTCCACTATCATTTTTCCTCATTCAGTCATACAGACGGTAGGGGCAAGTTCCAGAATTGTTGCATGTGGTTACAGAATACAACAGCTTAATTCTTGGCTGGAAAAATCCAGACACAAGAAAGAAGCTTTCCCTGGGTGGCAAGAAAGCTTGCATGATCACTTCCAACAGTACTTAACATTTGATTTAAAAAACCTGAAGTTTTTAGTCCTTCACATTGTGCCAATAACTTTCCAACAGTGAATAAATGCTGTATTTTCTTTGAGGCTACAGCCATACAAATGCAGTATTTCTACTGCAGCTCTGCCAAGCAGCAACCTGAAACTAGCTAAACTTACCCAGTTTCACTTCTGCTGTTCAGAATCCTGAGAGCAGCAATAAAACTTGTCTTCCTTTCACTGTCAGGCTGCTCCTTGAAAAAGCTCACAGCTGCAGAGTTACTGTAGTTTCATAGGTGAAAAACCACACAAAGGCTAGAAAAGCTGACAGTGGCAGAGGCTTGCCCTTCTCGATCCCTCAGGACAGGCAGGTACGAGGGGATTGAAAGCAAAGCTTCTTTCCCTCCCAACAGTTGAAGAGAATCAGTGGGGCTTCAGATTTAATCTGATTCCTTAACAGGTCCATACAAAATACGGAGGAAGCCCAAGGCAGAGCTCAGTAGAAATGCCCGTTTTTAAGGACAGCAGCGAAGTTGGGTTTCTCAAAACCGGGTTTTACTTCGCCGTACAGCCACCTTTCAGAGCTACTTTGGGCTAAGATTTTTCCAAGTCCTGTTTTATACTCAATGGTACCTCACTTCAAGCCTCGCCATGTAAGAGCTGTACTTCATGGCTGTGACTATACACAACAAACCAAGCAATATTTATTCTGAAGTGGAGGCATCACAAGTACTAATGAATGCTATGAATGTCTATACTTTGTTTTGTCTGAATTAGGCAAGGCACTCAAGCTCTTGGAAAATAACCAAGGCAGTTCATGGCAAGAGGGTTTTTAACATCCCAGGATTAAATTATGGCCTTTCCTCAACAACCCATTATTTGACTATATGAAGTAATTCAATATATGGAGATGCCAAGCAGATGGATTCTATTCACTGCAGTTAAGGCTTTGGTTCAAAGGACCATAAAGTACCCGAATGGAAGTGTTCCAACCAAGAATGAGCACTGATCCTATCAGGCCTGGAAAGCAAGATGATGTGCTGTGCCATGCAGGTGGAGTATTGTGCCTTTAAATGTCACAGATCGAAGGTAAGAAAGTATCTTTGAGGGGGCACAGAAGCAGGTCAGGACATAAGCAATATAAGCTTCCTCTTCGGTAATCAGAAAGCGAGCAATAAGATAGCCGGTTATCAGATTATTTAGGCCCTATGTGTTTCAGGCATAAATATGATAATTTCAATTGACATCTGGTTTCTGTTCTACACTGAGCAGATTGTTTAATACCGGTCAACAACACATTAACAAAAGTTAGATTTAATAACAAGCCACCAGTTAAGGTAAGCTAATTTCCTAAAACAGCACAAAAGCAGCGAAGAAATAAGACCAATAGCTTTGTTTGGAATAGACATTTAGGGTAGGAAGAAAGGGGGAAATTCCTTTTTCTTTGTACACTTGAGTTCTTGCAATATGGAATTAAATGCAACACCACACATGGAACCCTACAATGCCATTTTTGCAGAATCATATGCTTCTAAGTGCAACTGCACTTTATGACCCTAATAAGGGGCTTAAGTGACACACAATCTTGCCTATGCTGTCTGCTCTAAGGTGTATAGTCACCTGCTGAAAAACTGCTTTTAAGCCCTTTTAAATACAAACAGCACTCTCTGGAATTCTCATGAACCATGTAAAATCTAGCAACAAAACGACTGTTCAGCTTTAGGGTATGGCTTCTAAATTCCAGTGTGCACTTAAGGGGGAGACCTTGTGAATTCCAAGATTACTGAAGTTCCTGAATTGGTGGATCACCTCATTCTGCATTAGCCTGTCATATCAGCAAATCCCCAACTCTCAGCATCAACATACTTTTAAAAAAGATATCTCTATACTATATATAATTTGCAATAATTGTTTCTTCGTTTTCATGAGCCATCATCAGTACAAGGAATGATAAGTACAGGTTAAAGATTAAAAAGTGGTCCGAATACTGTAGTACACTGTCCTACTGCAACAAGTCCAGGTCTGTGCAAGACAAGTTCTAGACATTGGTTACTTTACAAAACAAAGTTGTATTTACTGTTAAATCCACAAATGAAAGCAAATTGCTATGGATCAGCTTTATATTACTGCTATTTCTCAGCCCCAAATTCAGAGTGGATCATGCCACTGCACACGTACCTGTATCCTCCCTTACCATGAATGAGCTTGGTGGGAATGAAAACTATGACAGCAAGAGATACCCACCCTAAAATACACATGAACTAGCACTTTTCTCCCACGATGTACTGATGTGCACAGGATTGCATAAAGTTAGCTACAAAAATCAAAAGTGTTTTAGTTACTTTCAAAGTTCATACTTTAAAACACTTATCCAGAAATAAAAATGTAAGACCCCATGATTTCTAGGCAATATCTGTACGCATAAACACTGTCTGCTTTCTCCTCAAAGCATCCCAAACTGCTCTCTGCAAGTCTACCGGCAGTATTAGAGAGGGAAGAGTACCCTTTCAGTAAGACCACATTCTGAATCCATGTTAGAAGATCCTTAGACCATTTGCATTTAATTCTACAGGTAAACATTATGGTTTCAAGCAAGGTACTTATTAAAAAAATCAAAACTCCTTCCTTTTTAATCCACAGTAAAACAAACAGTAGGAATTACTCTGTATAACGAACAGTAAGCCTCTCTGATCCAACATAACATTTTTAAAATACAAGATCTGAAAGGAGACTGAGTCTGAATTATGCCAAATGTGCTCACTAGTTTGTCTGTAGCTCAACCTCACAAAGCAGCTTTCAGTCAGAATACCTGAGTCTAACTGATGCAAATATATATATATATATATATGTACGTATATTGTTAGCTTTTCAATCCTGCAGTTAAGTTAAAAAAATTGCAATACATCTACAAAATTGTATACCACTGAACCAAATCAGCAGCAAGTTCTGTATTCTATTTTCTATCATCCATTTTAGCCATAGCTCTAAGACATCATTCAAAGTGCTCAATAAGATTCAGATATGGTACTGTGGATGCTTCTGTAATGTAACTTCTTTCTTCTAACAATGCTGCACAGCTCGTTGGTTTGGAATGAGATCAAAGTGTCAGCAACATTACCGACATCCCCATTTTTTACTGAGATAACAGCATAGTTCTTTGTTTACCCCACATACCGTATGGAGATATTAGAGGCTCATACAACTGAAAGAGTAGAGTCAAGCTTTTCAGAACATCCTCTTCTCCAGAGACAATCCTGTGCTATAAGACAACTTGACACTGTCTTGAAATCAAACCAAAGTCTACCAAGACTGGCATGGGTGAGTCACTGGTTGCTCGGGGACCTATTAAAAGCAGGGTCCACACTGAAATTGCTTTCCCAATCCTGATGTCTGTATCAAATCCAGGAAAAGCAGCATAATGTGCACAGGTTGTCTAGCCCCGCGCTAAAGCACGGAGTTAGATGTAAGACTGACAGATTTCTCTAAATCAGGGTTGCTTTTCCAACTTTTTTAAAAGCCAAGCAAAGGTAATTATAGCAATTCTCTGCTGTCCCAGCTCAAACCCTGAACGGTAAAGTGACTCAAAGTAACATCCCGCTACAGAAGATACACACAGTACATCTATGCTGGTGCCCAGATTGGAAGGGGATGAGCTTCTGTGTTAAATACATATTTGTCAAGGTTGATTAGGTCTACATCATCTGAAAACAGCAGAAACATATACTTGAGTGTTTCTCCAAGAAAGAAGCTTTCCATCTTATCTCTTGGTTCTGGGTTACTGGGGTTCTGGACGTTGTTAATGGAAGTATAACCACCAGAAGGAACCTGTGCAGAAGACAAACAATGCTGTATATTTCTATAAGCCCAAAAGAGCTTGTGTTACCTACAATTTCTCAAATTTTGATTTAAAACAATGAAAATAAACATTTGAAAAGCAGGCACAGCTTTCAAAATATTTTGCAACTTACACAAAAAATTTCAAATCTGAAAGATTCCAAAGCACTTTATAAACTGATATGCAAACTACACAGAGAAAATGAAGCCCTATCATTGTGACTTGTTGCATGTTTAACAGCAGAAAAATGCTACAAAGACAAGTGAAGAGGACAATGACCAATCACAAGTGCAGAAGAAATGTGAGGTGATCACGGTAACTACCAGGCTATACTTGCTACAGAGGGGTAGCCGAATTAGTCTGTAACTGGAAAAACTTAAAAAACAATGAATAGTCTAGTAGCACCTTAAAGATTAACAAAACATGAAGATGGTATCATGAGCTTTCATGTGCATAACCCACTTCTTAAGAAGTGGGCTGTAATTGGTCAGAACAACAGGGTTAATACCACTACTCATGAGAAATGATCATGAAAGATCCCATGACTCTAAGCGGTCTGGATCATAGTTGTATAGCTCATCCATGAGATGCTTCTAGAAACACAGTGCTCCGCTAAGGTTATACTGGGCATTGGCTCAACACAAACACAAAGGCTGTGTCCAGACTCAGGGGTTTTTTCGAGAAAAGTAGCCTTTTTTCGAAAAAACCTCACCTGCGTCTGGACTGCAGCCGCGTTCTTTCTAAATTAAATCGAAAGAACGCGGCTTTTCTTTCGATGGCGGTAAACCTCATTTCATGAGGAAGAACGCCTTCTTTCGAAAGTTCCTCCAATGTAAATAGGGCTTCTTCGAAAGAGAGCATCCAGACTCACTGGATGCTTTCTTTCGAAAAAGCAAGCCACTTTTTCGAAAGTTCAACGTGCAGTCTAGACGCTCTCTTTCGAAAGAGGCTTGCAGTCTAGACATAGCCAAAGGGAAGACACAACAAATGGTCTGGTAGCACTTGATAGACTAACAAAACACGCAGATGGTATCATGAGCTTTCGTGGGCACAGCCCACTTCTTCAAACAAAGGGAAGAGTGGCTCCTACTGAGACGTTAGCACTGTTTCCTGCAGCACTCTTTCTCCTTTGAAACCTTCCACCCAACTGTTGGACCAGGGCAGGCAGATCTTGCTAGACTGTGAGGTCTGACGTGATCACAGCAGAAACTGGGCAGATCTTCAAGGACCAGTGAAACTTTGCTGGACTCCAACTTCATGTACCAAGACATCTCTGTTAGGAGGAATGACCTCTCATTTGGGAAACATTTTTGTCAACATCACTGCTCACAGAACAGCAGGTCTCAACCGGGGACCTAAAACCTCCAGGGTGGCTGTGGATCCAACAGCTGAAGTCCCAAATCCCAGCACCCTCCCAAATGGCTGCAACCCCAAGTCCTTCAGCAAAGTTGGGGGAAGCACAAGGGGTGATACCCCCCCCAACTGTAGTGACTTGCACAGAGTGGATTAGTCCTTGGGACAGCTCTATTCCCCCCCCTATCTGCTCCCCCCAACTCTCTTGAAGCCCTGCCCCCTGGCCCGCTCAGAGGCTGGAGCCAGGCAGTGTGAGGTGGCTGCTGCTCTGGTTGCTGTCCGGGAGAGGACAGCCACAGCATGTCCCCATCTCCTTCTCCTGTTGCCCAGGGTTGCAGTTGCTCCTAAGCTCCCAGCCCCCTTTGCTCACACAGAAGGTAAGAGCCACCTGGGCAAGGGGACCCAGCTCTGGGGCTGGCAGAGCCCTCAGGGAGCAGAGACTGCAAAGCTACTCCCCTCCCAGCCCCCACCTACTCCCCTCCCAGCCCCCAAGTGGTTTTCATACTTTTAGAGCTGAGTCCCCCCCCTCCTTTGAGTGATCATTTGTGGTTACTCCACCCCGTCCAGTCCAGACAGAATAGGAGGCCTGCTGAGATGAGACAGGTGGTGGAAAGGGGGCTCCCTCCTTGGATCCTGCTGTGTGGAGCTGGCCCAACCCCACTGGGCCCTGCCCTCCTAAAACAGAAGTCAAACTACACCTATGCGAGAGGGCCACCTATAACTGTGGCTGGAGCCCCATCTCCCTTCCCTTCCCCCTGCTGGGCCCCAGAGTTTTTATTGTATGCGGGGGGGGGGGGGGTCCTCAGTAAGATAAAGGTTGAGAACTCCTGATTTAACAGACAATGGGGCCATACGCACAAGTATCTATTAATGTATCTTGGCAGTTAGAGCAATTGATGCTTTGGAGTCAGTGAGTTACCAGGAAGGTGTTGGCATTTTGCATTAAGAAATCCTAGCTCTTAGTGTGGATAAATCCCTGTAATATTATCACTCATATACAACTTTGTATTAAGATCTTGTCCTTTTAGATAGATCTTTGTTAAGTGTTCTTATAGAATCTCTGTAACATTTCGCCTATAACTTTGTATTAAGAAAAAAAATGTCTTTTGAGCTCTCCCCTTTCCTTGATTGTACTGTTGAAATGAATGAGGTGTGAATGGAGAATGAAAAGTGAGCACCTCCAGCAGCAGTTGCCAGGGTGGAGAAGGTCTGGGAGCCCCCAGATCCAAGACAATACCTGTAAAGTGAGCTCATTAAGAAGACTGGACATACAGATGCCTTGTGAGTCAAGCAGCAAGTGCCTGCCCTTGGAAGAACTCTCTTTGAAGCAGCATTAAGAAAGGCAAGGTGATGACTAATTGACTCCATGAGAGGGATAAATAGGAGGCGTCTTGTCAACATGGGAGCATCGATCCGGATCGGCAGAAGCCCGGCTCCACCCCTCCCCTATCTAACTCACCTGGCCAGTGCAGTTAGGGGGAGCAACTTTTGGTAACAACAAGATGGAGTGTGCTTGTGTGAGAGAGTGCATGAATGTAATGTACCATACGCATATGATAAATATTGATTGATCTATGTATGTTCAATAAATGTGGTGTGTTGCCTTATCCCTCTGAAAAAGATCCCAGGTGCTTCTTTTAAGCACAACATTAGAAACTATATCTGAAATTTCTCAAGGTAATACTGAGACCCACTTGAAAACAAAACAAAACTTTCTGGATATGGGTCAGCGTTTTTGTCCTGCTGACAGCTCCATTCCACAATTTAAAAATAATTACTCATCATAATCCTCTTAATACACAGCTTTTATCAATATGATGAAAAGTCCTTTTCCTTAATGTGCTAAGTACTAAACGCATAAGCTGAAGTACACAGACTTCCAGGCACAGTCAATATTGTAATACTCTGTCTAGCTCTTGATGCTTAGTTTTACCTATTCGAATTTTTTATGATGCTTGGACAGCGAGCTATTTGAGCTTTGCTGAAAGCCCCTATATGGCAGAATACATTGCTTAGATACACTCCTGAGGCAATTACTGCTCACTAGGCTGGTCTTACCAGTGTATATTTATTGAAGTTCTGCAAGATCTCCCAGCCCCAGTCTTGGTATTTCTTATCTCCAGTGAATCTGTACAGGTAGAACAGGCTTTCCACAGTTTCAGGTCGCAGCAGGTTGTGTCTATCTGCCGGCTGCAAAACAGTAAAGATCATAATTCAGTCTTGGAGCAGGATACATTGGCAGAGAGCAATACTAGTTTGAATCTTATAGCTTCTTTGATAATTACGACAAAATGGGGAAATAACTGGCTAGGTAGTAATACTTCTGAAAGGGATCCAGGGGTACTAGGGAATCACAAATTGAATACTTATCAGTGTGATGCAGTTTGGAAAAAAAAAAGGCTTATGTAAGAGATGGGCGGTAACTGTCCCACTCAGTGCAGGAGAGGCCTCAGGTGGAGTAGTGTGTCCAATTCTCAGTGCCTCACTTTAGGAAAAATGTGGATAACTTGAGAATGTGTCCGGAGAAGAGCAACAAACAATAAAAGGTTTAGAAAATGTGGCCTATAAGGAAAAGTTTAAAACCTGAACATGAGAGGGTTTAGTCTTAAGAAAAGTCTTAGGCAAGGCTGTCAGAGAATAGTGATCAATTGCTCTCCATGTCCATTGAAGGTAGGACAAGCAATAATGGGTTTAATCCGCAGCAAGGGAGATTTAGGTCACATATTAGAAGAAACTTTTTAGCTATAACTGTCACTAAGCTATAGAATAAGCTTCCAAGGGAGGTTGTGGAATTCCCAACACGGGAGATCTTCAAGAACATTTGAACAAACACCTGTTGGTTTTACTAAGTCCTGCCTGAACACAGGCAGCTGGACTTGACTCTCTCAATGTGTGCTTCAAACAATTATATGCAACTCAGCTTGTGGCTGTTAAGAGATCATTAAAAAAGGTAAAGCCTAGGAGTGTTTGCATGAGAAGAGACAGAAAAAGTTTACCCATCAAAACAAAGAACATCCTTCTCCAGGTGTAGACGATTCTAAAGGGATTTTCACAGAAACAATCTGATATGTACAGAGTTATCCAAAGCAAGAGTTATACAGTGGTCAATTTATAGCAATACTCAGAGCTCTTTACCTTGATCTCCACATCCTTGTGGTCCTTTTGTGCATGGAGATTGAAGTGCACAATCTCTGGGCTCAGGCCTGTCTCTACCTGAGCATACATCTGGTAACAAGTCTCTATGAGGGCTTTGGCCAGCTCCATGTGATCAGCAGTTAGACCATTATGAGCTCCAAGAGCCAACGTCCCAGGCAAGAAGCAAACTAGATGATCCTATAAGACAAAGCACAGCCTGCTGTGAGAAGTACTGAAACAAAGAAGAATTTTCACTACCCTGTATCAGTACAAAAAGCATATTGTGTTACTTAAAGGCCACAGTTATTTGTTAAGGAAAAATGTAACATGACAGGAGCATGGTGCATTACTAAAGGACACTTTATCAACTTGGAATCACAAGATCTTGTAGCTACTATTGATACTTGTACCACCTTAAATTACTAAAACCAGAAGACTGTGGGAAAAAGTCTCATCTTGTTCAGATTGCTAGCCTGGTGTATTTCATAACACTTTACATGAAGTCAGTTTCTGTTATCCTGTACTGCCAATTAGCACGGAGAAACTGAAAGACCTTTAAAATTAAATAAAGAGGGGAACAAAAAAATCCATTTTAAAAAGAATTCAAGCAACATTTAACATAAGAACATAAGAATGGCCATACTGGGTCAGACCAAAGAATGGCCATACTGTTTGTCAGAGGCTGGAGAGGGATGGCAAGAGACAATCGCTTGATCATTGTCTTCGGTCCACCCTCTCTGGGGCACCTGGTGCTGGCCACTGTCGGCGGACAGGCTACTGGGCTAGATGGACCTTTGGTCTGACCCATTATGGCCGTTCTTATGTTCCACTTCTTAAAAGATGCCTTTTTGTCCCTCACTGCTTCTTTTACATGGTGGTTAAGCCACGGTGACTCTTTTTTAGATCTCTTGCTATGTTTTTTAATTTGGGGTATACATTTAAGTTGGGCCTCTATTATGGTGTCTTTAAAAAGTTTCCATGCAGCTTGCAGGAATTTGGCTCTAGTCATCATGCCTTTTAATTTCCGTTTAACTAACCTCCTCATTTTTGTGTAATTCCCCCTTTTGAAATTAAATGCCAGAGTGCTGGACTGTTGAGGTGTTCTTCCCACCCCAGGAATGTTAAGAAAGTTCCTCAGAAAGAAAGTTCTCTCAGAAAGCATCAATTTGAAAAAATGCAAACTCAGCTTCTCTAATATTTATGTAGCACCCTAACTTTGCAAGGTGCACTAAGGAGATGATTCTTTTAAACATTTATTTAAAGTGGCCCAGAGAGCTTAAAAGCTAAATTATTCAAACATAAAAAGTAATAAAATATGATAGGGAAGAGAAGGATGAGGGTTAAGATAAAAACTATGAACAGAAAACAAATTTAAGAGCTCTCATTTTGAAACAGACTGAAATAAAAGGCAAAAAAAGAAATTACCCACAGAAACCAAGGGTAACAGGTTTTGGGGAAGTATCTGAAGTTTAAAAGTAGATTAGTCAGAGCACAGCTGATATGATAAGATTAATATAACAGAGTTCAGGATAAAGTTGAATCTCCTTGCTAACACTAAAATTTGTATTATCCATATAAGTGTTAGAAACACCTGATACCTTAAGTCAGGTATCCTCAGTATGGCTCTGTATACAACCAACTTTCCAAGAACGACACTGGATTTCCTTCCTGTGCAACGGCAGCAGTAGGAGCAAAAGCGTTACAAGGAACTTCCCTTCATGAATCCTACACAATGCAACTTTATTATTCAGTTATTTGATCAAGGAACAGAAGAGAGAGATATTACCTCAAGGAGTGTGCAACACTAAGGCAACTAAGTTATGTGTGGTTATGTTCCAAGAATACTATGAAATGTTACAATAACTTAATAGTCAACAAAGTCAGCACATGAACAAGTTGGGACCCTGTGTCATGTAGCATTCTCAGTGCTCACCTTAACAGTCTCTTCTAGTAAGGCTAATACTGTGAATAACAGGACTTAGATTAAATGTGGAGTTTTACTACCATTCTAAAGAGGTGATTAGACACCTATCACCACACCTGCCAATCTCTCAGTGGATAAGTCTGTGCTAACAAGGCTCCCAGAGAACCTCTGCACAAAACTCTCAAGCTCCCTAATTCAACAGGCACTGATCAATATTGGCAGTAACAGTGTAAAGGGACAACATTAACACCTTTCCAACTCATCAGGTATGGTGAGATTTCAGTTAAGGATGTTAAGTAGCATGTAACTGATTACTCGAATAGTTGATGCATTTGCTTACTGGATAGTCGACTCGTCCTTAACATCCCTAGTTTCAGCCAGACCCTTCAAGCAGAGATGACAAATGAAATTCTGCAAAAGTCTCGGCCCTGCAGGGACTGCATTAAATATACTCAGATGCAGTTTTAAGAGTGCAGATTTACACATACATTAGCAATTCACTGCTTAAATATTTGTCAATTTATATAATATCTTATACAGAAAGCACTCAAAATGCTTTTGAAAAGGAGTGTTAGTTCATCATTTTAAAGCCATTCTGATAATCTGACTTCTGGTATAACACAGGAACAGAAATTCACCAATTCCTGCATCCAATATTTGCCACCTAAAATTAGAGGAAATAAGAGATGGTGGTCACACAGCACATTAGTAGCAGAGTCAATAACAGAACTCCGAATCTCCTGACTTCCACTCATGTACCAATTACTGACTAGAATACTAGTTCATGTATTTTCCATTGTAGAAAAAGTGAATAGTACACAAAACAGGCATGATCTCATTCTGTTTCAGATGCTGAAGTGATGTAACAAATGATTGCACTGAATGTGTTTACGACTGGAGAAGCACAAGTGGAAACTCATAGGGAGATTCAGATCAGCAAATAAAAACCTAAAGGGCCTCTGACCACAGCAGGGACTGTTACCTGTAACCTAGCTACTAAATGCTATCACTAAAGTCACACCTGAACCCAGTATCTTGGTTTAAAAGAATGCTACCTGCCCATAAAAAAAAAAAAAAAGAAAGAAAGAAAGAAAGACCATCACCACCCTTCAGAGTTGATGTGATCTCACTCCAGTTTTGCACTGAGTAAGCCATATTGTATCTCCTAAAGTCACAGTGCTGAGTATCTGTGCGGCAATCTGAGACCCGGGGGATACGTCTAGACTACAGGCTTTTGTCAACAGAAGCTTTGTCAACAGATACTGTCGACAAAGCGTCTAGACTACAGCCAGTTCTGCCGACAAAGCAAGCCGCTTTGTTGACGAGAGTGTAGACGCAAAGGACAGTGTAGATATAATTACGCCTTCTGTCAACAGAACTCTGTCAACAAAAGCCGTTATTCCTTGTAGAATGAGGTTTACATACGTCGATAGAACTGCCGAGTTCTGTCAACGTTATGTCAACAGAACTCAGCGGTAGTGTAGACTCAGGCAGAGTTTTGTCAACAAAACCCTGTAGTCTAGACACACCCTAAATGTACAAGGTATCTGCAGATTACAAGGATCCCTGGCCAGTTTTCACCTTTCAATTTTTGGATCTTCCAGCAGCCACTATCAAAACCTTTGGTCTGTACACACAGACTACACATTTGATCAAATAACTATGTATTTAACTACTGTACTCAAGATCTCCCCTATGGAACTGCAGACAGCTGAGGGAGAACACAACAGTATTCATAAGAGCCATTTAAAACAATTTGGGTTCAAGTGCTTACCATCTTGGCACTGAAATGGCCGTGTGCTAGTTCACCTACAAAAGTAAGCTTCTTGGGTTGTGATTTCCGAAGCAGATGCTTTTTCACCCCTTCTATAGCTTTCATGTAATCTTCCAACAGTCTGTGAATTAAAACCGTTCCTAGTTGATCCCAACATACACATTTTAAAAAGTACATTTATCCAACTCTACTTTAGATATAGTTTATGCATCTCAAAGGCCACACTTTGGAGGGCAGAAACTTTCAATTTGATTTCCTTAACTTTAGTCAAATATAAAACATTAAGAAAAATCCAAGTAATCCTGTTTATACAAAATGCATCTAGCATGTATCTGCAGTATAGCTAAGCAATGGTGGCGTCTTTCAAGGGTGATTAGGAGAAAAGCTCTTGAATATATATTGATTTCTGAGAATTTTTGCTAATTAAAACAATTTTAAAAGCAAAGGAGTCAGTGAATGGTAATTCTTGTGAAAGATACTGGATTCACAACCAATCGAGACAGAAGTTCTATAGCTACACAACTGTAACTGCACTGGCAGGAGTCACACAAGTTTCCCATTCCTCACCATTATCTTGCAGGGAGCTCCTCTAGAGCAGTGGCGTTTTCAAACTATGAGTCGGGACTCAAAACTAGGTCACAACCCCATTTTAACGGGGTCACCAGAACTGATAGACTTGCTGGAGCCCAGGGCAGAAACCTGAGCCCCACTGCACAGGGCTGAAGCAGAAGCCAAAGGGCCTCAGCCCTGCATGGTGGAGCACAGGTTATAGGCCCCCTGCATGGGGCTGAAGCCCCTTGAGCTTTGGGCGCCTCACTTAGGCTGGAGAGGCTCAGGTGTGCTTAGGCCTCAGTGTCATAATTTTTGTTATGAGAAGGGGATCACAGTGCAATGAAGTTTGAGAACACTTGTCCTAGAGGGTGTGGGAAAGAGGCTCACACAAAACACCATCTTCCTAGTCCCACAAATCCTTCCAATCCCCTCATCCCAGAACAAGCTGCTTCCCAGTTATTCAGGCCACACAGGAGAAACATACTAGAATCCAAGGCACATGAGTCAAATATCAGACCTGTAACTGGACTAAAAAAGGGACAATCATGGATGTGGTGCCTGTCCCTCCAGCAGGTTTTTTACTGGCCCTTCTCTCAGAGCCTGCAAAATGCCGGACAGCTTTGGAGAGAAAGAATAAGTGGTATTTCCTACAGTGCAAGGAAACTTTATTTGCACAACAGAACCTGCTGCAAATGGTTTTAAATCCCTCCCTCATCTGTAATAATCACAACCTTCAACACCCTAGGTAGGAGGGGAAGCAGAGTTACAAGCTGACATCTCATCCCCACATTGCTAGGCAGTTACTAACAGGTCTGCTGACCTAGCTTGGGTTTTTTTGGTTTTTGTTTTAAACCTACTCAAATATGCTCACATCAGAGTCTGCATTAGATACTTTTTCTTTTAAACTGCTAAGTAGGGTACCATGTCTTATAACTTACATCATTCTTAAACAGATACAGGAAGTGAGGAGAACTTACTCATTTTCTTTCTTCCCACCCTGGATCCATTGTTTGAGCAAATACTCATAGTAGCTGTCGGCTCTGGCTCCCAGAGTGTAGACACCAAGGTGAGTGAACTGCCCACTGTTGGTATTTATGAACATGGGCACGAGCCCATCATTCTTCCCGGAGAGGGAGTGTACATGCTTCATCACCGCGTCTGCTGCTTTCTACAGCACATAAATGGATAAAACACACATTGAATGAGAATGCCAGTACACAGCTCAATGTTTCTTCAATGGCCAACAGTAGTCAGCCGTTGTGCGATTTTTCCTTTTTCCAATACAGTGGCTGCTTATAGCTTCCGAGAAACGACAGCAAATACGATAGTTTGGAAGATTTGTTAAGAAGCTAGAGACAGTGATGTTGGTGAATCCAGATAGTTTAGAAGTCAGGACACATCTTCACTTTCTGCACTGGAGATTATTTCTTCTAGCATTTGACTTAGCAGGTGTAGTAAGAACTGGTTAAATCATACACTGAGGGTGCCCCCTGGTCGACAATGGTACTCCTACTACTTGTGATGAGTAAGGGAAGCTGATGGGAATGTTTGCTCCCATCAACCTCCCATTGTGGAGACAAGCTCGGCTTAAGGTATGTCTACTCCAGCTACGTTATTCACAAAGCTGGATTTTCTATGTAAATAAGTCGACCTTCTGGATCTAGTATAGACTTCGCCTCAGATTCAAATACCAACTGACAGAAGAGTAGGTTAACACTAACATTCGATTAAGTGGCCTGCAATACCTCTAACGGTGTCTGTTTTGAGGTCAGAGAAGCTCAAATATTTTTGATAAATACTGTAGCTCAACTTAAGTTGGCAATGATGCCAACTTTTTTTTTTTTAACTAAGATTTTCACGACACAAGTTATAGCGAAGGACAGGGATGGGCAATAATTTCTGATGGGAGGACCACTGCAAGAATTTATAAGTGGTCAAGAACTGCACTCCTCCATGATGTTAATGGAGGATGTATGGGGTCTGGGATGGAGGTTGGGTGCAGAAGGGAGCTCAGGGTAAAGGAATGGGGTGCACGGTCCAGGAGGGGGTAAGGGGGCAGGAGAGGAGTCTGACGTAGAGGAGGGCATATACAAGGGGTGCAGGGTCTGGGTGGGGATTCTGTCCTGGGACAGAGGACAAGGTGCAGGATCTGGTAAGGGGGTTTGGGTACAGGAGAGGATTATGACCTGGAGAAGGGGTATAGGAGGGGATGCAGGGATGTGGGTTGTGACCTAGAGCAGGTGATTGGGATGCAGGAGCAGGGATGCAGAGGGTTTGGGTTACATGGGGTAGGAGTGCAGCAGGGTGGGCAGAGGGTTGGGAGGAGCCTAGCAATGCCCAGCTGCAGCACTGCAAATGTGTGTGTATGGGGGGGGGAGGTGAGGGTAATATGCACACCCTGCTCTGCCAATGGGAACTACAAGACTATGCCGAGGGTGGGGGCAGTGTGCAAAACCTCCCACCCTCACCCCAGCTTGCACCACACGTTAACACCTGGCCCCTGCAGCTGGTTGCTTTGAGTAGCATGCAAGGGCAGGGCAGACAGGGAACCTGCCTGGGGTTCACTGCTGGGCCATCGGCTGCATCCAGTCTGCAGGCTGTATTTTGCCTGTTTTAGCTAATGTGCATAATGTACAATTTTAATTCCTGTAAATAACTGTATGAATACGGCCCTACTTGAATTATGAGATGATGTAGTGGAGTTGTGGACAAGATGTGGAAAAAAATCCAGAAAAGTAATCGTGGACCTTCATTAATAGTGATAATTTGGAAAAGTCAAAATCATATCTATTTGTTTAAGAAAAAATTGCAGGCACAATATAAACATTCAAGTATTATGTTATGTCGGCTATTTTTTATAACCAATTTTTTTATAATTTTTTGCTTCAACTGTATTACATTCTTTTTTTTAAAAATGACTGATATGATATAAAATTCAGAAGACTGAAAATCTTAAACACTGTTGCTGTAGAAATCAAGTCCAATCATTTTAGGCTTTTACATTTTATAGACATTGCATACTCAGAAAGTACACAACACTGTGGACAATACAAAGTAAGCTTATTAAAAATCAAAACCTGCGAATGCGGGATCTACAACTACCACATTATTGCAGCTGAAGTAGAACCTTATGTATAAACTGACCTGGGACAGTGTACAACAACCCCAAACAGAATACACCTCCCACTGCCTTTGAAATTACTAGTACTTTGGCTTATTTTCTCCCAGACACAGCCTTCACACCATATGAGTAATATGAGAATATGATAAGAACCCTACCGGTAATGAAGGAAATTCAGTTGCTTTCAACACTAGCATTAATGTAGGGATATCAAAGCACTTCCTACAGAATTTAAATACAAGGCAGTTCTATGCAGTTTAATTTTGTACACAGGTAAACTAGTCTGAAGAACATCAAAAGCAAAGATTTATCTTGTAAATCCTTCTGATGAAAAGAGCAATTATTCTTCCTACTATGGCAGTGTGGTATTTACTTTAAGAAAATAATTGTGAAAGTAATGGACTGTTTCCCCCTAAGCTGCTTCCCATTTGATGTCATTTAGCGCTCTTTAGCTGAGAGACTAGAAGAACCAGGAATTCACCAGTAAACTGAAAAGCGGTGCGACTGTTCAAAAATAGTGATGTGTTAGGCATAAAATAGTTCCAAATCAGATCTTTTAGAGATGGTATTTGGTAGGAGGTGGATCAGCAATGCAGTGGCATTTACTTTTATCAACCCAGTGAAATCTGTTCCAGCTGCCACAGAGGCTTATTTTTGATGTCTTTTAGAAGAATGGAAGGAGTCAAGGATACAGAATGTAGGGGAGCCTCTGCAATAATGAGGTGGAGCCTGAGAGGTGGTGATGGAGAGAGGAAGAGAAGACGACAACTGGTTCTCCTGTACCTGGAATTTCTCATCCCCAGTGAGACGAGAGAGCTCTCTGAACTCCAGCTGAATACTGGTCACCTCTGCCACGGTGCTGTCAGATGTCCAACGGGGTGGGTGAGCAGTGCCTCGGCCAATGTTTACATCTGAGTATGGTATCTTGGACGGTGTGTTGAATGCTGGCATAAGCCTGCTCCCAATGTCTTTCTAAAGAGAAACCAAGAGCATGGCAAAGAAGTTCTTTATTTCTCTCAGAAAACAGAAATGCAGCCTAGTTTTAGACCATTTCTGAGAAGCAAAGGCAAATATTAAGATAAATCACTAGGTTTCTTCACAGTAATTGGCATACAGCTTCTATCTAGTTCCCACCATGGTACACTATAGTTCAGTCTGCACATCGCCTGTAACAGGTTTTCAATATGAGATTATGGGATTATACTTAATGTGAGTACAGTGCCTATATATCCCTGCATTGGGAGAGGGCAGGAGAATACCACAGTATTTCCCAAGACTGGGAATCAGAACAGAATCACTTCATTCATTGACTATGATTTTCTCCCCATAAAAAATTATCTAGATAAAAATGATACAAATCCTTATATGTATCATCTTAGTCTTTACATTAAGAATTAAGTGAAATTCTCCTTAAAAAATGGAACCCTAAGATATTCAAGCTATGTCGACACAAGGAAGGCAAAGATGAGAGAAACATTCAAGAAGCCCCTAGGAAATACAGTAGAAAAGTGCAGCAGATTATTTTCTGATAAATCTTTCTGCCACTTTACCCAACACAAGACATACATGCTGTCTGGGACCACGAGACTCAATCACTTACAGCTTTTTCCAGGAAGAGGCTATCTCCAGATAAGTGGTAGGTACTCAGCAAACCCCCCAGAATACGAATTGTACTCTCAAAGAGGTTCACATCCACATTCTTATCAAACAATAAGTCAGTGGCCACCCATTTCCTTGCTTCTTCAAACTCTGCAAGGCACAAAAGGGAATGACTGTTGCAGAAAACACATTATAATTATAACAAGGAGTCCTGTGGAACTTTAACAACTAATAGATTTATCTGGACATAAGCTTTCATGGGTAAAATACACTTAATGTGATGCTGAAGCCAATACATCTGATGAAATGGTTTTTACCCATGAAAGGTTATTCCCAAATAAATCTGTTAGTCTTTAATAGGGATGTAAAATCCCATTTAATTAGTTAACCAGTTAAACATTGAGTTTAACTGATTGAACAGTGGTGGGCAGAGAGGGGTGTGCTGAGAAGTGGCAGCCTTGTATGCAGGGGAGAGGAAAATTGCCAGCTCCCAGCCCGCTGCCACTTCTGCCCAACACAAGCCTGCCGGCTCCCAGCCAGCAGGGAGCCAACAGCCCTGCCAGGCTGGAGCAACCCTCGGCAGATGGAAGGCTCTTCCGGGTAACAGTTAACCATTAAGGGTGATGCTTACTGGGGACCTGGTTAGCCATTCACATCCCTAGTCTTTAAAGTGCCACAGGACTCCTTGTTTTTACAGATACAGACTAACACAGCTATCCCTTTGAGACGTGATGCTGTAGTTATAACAGCAATTTCAAATGACCAGATTAAAAAAGAGATAGTATGTCAAATTGCCCTGCTTGTTATTACGTCTATCGAAAGGAACCTGTATTTTTAAGGGGCAAGCTGAAGAAGTTACAAATACACTGAAGCATAGACACCAAGAGAAGTTAAACATGGCATCAGTTTAATTCCTAAGCAATACAGCAACAAGGGGATGTGCAAGGAGACAAGTACTTAGAGAAATTACATGTTTAGCAGGTCTTGTAAAACCACATTTCTTCTTTATTAAAATGATGCAAAAGGGAATTAGCCTGGTATCCCAATAACCCACCTCTTTCAATATAAGGCTGAGGTCTATTACCATGCATTTTCTTAGCCATGCAATCAGGCACACTTTCACAGTAAGACTTTAGATTTTAGTTGAGGCTACTGAAATTAAAGCTACTGCCTGTCAACATACTATCTATATATTTATATATCTCCGCATTACTTCACCGTCATTAATGACTATTCTTGTAACAGCCTTATGAAGAAGTTTTCACATTGGGCACTGAGCTATAGATGGATTAAGTGGCATGTCCAAGGTCACACAGGAAATACTTGGCAGAGCTTGGAATTTAACAACTGTCTGTTGACTCCTATGCTAATATTTTAAAGACAACATCTCTAGGTATTCAGAACAACAGGCATCTAGGACTACCTGTAACTTGTACATGGGAAAACAAAGGTGTTTCTTTAAAATGTTGCAGATTATCTATGCAATTATCTTTCTGCAGACAGAACACAAAGGTTAGAAACTAATTCCCTTCCACTGAGGCTTCTAGATATTACTGACCCACTGAGATAGCTCACAAGGTCTGTCTCTCTCTTGGGGAAAAAAATCACTATTTACAAATATGTTCTACTACACATGCCTTAAATAAGGATGACAAAATAGATTTTCTACATTCCATTTCAGTAAATTGTGCTGACAGACTTGATATCACTGTCTAGCAAGAGGTAGTACAATACTGAAATCCAGGATTTTTTTACAGAAGCAGTCTTTATGTTCACAGACTCATGAGAGAAAGATATGCACATTCTAACACAACTTTCCAGATTATGAAGCAGTGATTTAAAGGAGAACTGCAATGTAATATAAGTTTCCAAACAGCAGTCCATTTTAAACATATCTAAATAGCTAATGGTTTATTTTAAAAGCTCTGCGCAATTCATATTTAAATATTTGATAAGAAAGCAGTCGCACCATCAACCTAGCGAACATCAAGAGAGTGCTCCATCAAGAGAGAGAGAGCTCAGACATGCAGTGAGACAAACAAGAGGGTTTTTCATCTGATTTTAAATCGTACATGAATGTGCCTAGTAAACCAAAAAAAACTAAGAAAAATATAGAACTGTGGAAGACTTCTGTAATTTCTTGTGCCCTTAACAGCAGCTCTGATCTTCCAATCTTGATGCATGTGAAACTGTATTTCTTGTGAAGTTATTACAAGGCTGTCTCTACAGATTCCACCAATGGAGACATTTTCAAGTATTTGTAAATACTTTGTTGTTTCCTTATCTAACTTACATGCTCTGATTAAGTACTTTTTTTCCCCTGTAGTCATGTAACTTAAAAACAAAAGATCAAATTGAGACATTTAAAACCCAGTACCAAAACACAGTCAGTTCTGGACTGAATTAGGATAACTGTTACACAGTGAACAGAAACAATACACAAATGTTTGGGACAGGAAGTGTATCTCACTGAATAGAAGAGGGAATCTTGCTAGACAATATGTAATTAAGCAAATTAAAATGTGGCTCACATATTATGGTTAAAGTGTGGCTGAAGTCAGAAAAGTGAATAAAAACAGCACTGCCTTAGTCACCAGATCTCTGTGCACTCTGTCTTACACACTTGCACTAATGACATAAGTTATTCACTATCTTTTATGCACTGCAGATCCAATAGAATACTGAATTATTGTCTGGTTTACATTCAGGCTTGTTGACTACATTCAATATGTAGAATATTTTTGTTAATGATCACACAGAAGCTAAGAGACTCCAGGCTAACTTTACAAGGCTTGTACTTAGAATGGCTCCTCCAGCATCCTGGTGACCGCAATGGACACCAGGCAGACCTAATTATCCAGTCTCCAGTTTTTAGCAGGAAGCCAATCTATCAATAGATGCAGCCTGCAAAATTATTCCATCAATCCTTTTTTATACAGGACGCAGTTATTTGTAAAGTGTTCCTTCCCTACATATGGAATTATTGGATTTTCCCCATGGACAAAATGAAATTTGCTCAGCCAAAGTGTAATTAATTATTCCTGCTTACATATTACTTCAAGAGACACAGAGGATCTCCAAAAACTACCGGAATAAAACATTCTGCCTCTCAGACATCAAGCATAAAATGATCAGTTGGCCTTAATGACAGTTGTTAGAACCCAGTAAAGTACTGAGGTGAGAGAAAAATAGGAAGTAGAAAGGAAATTACCTTCTTTTAAGCCTAAAATCCACATGGTATCCAAAGCATCAATTAGAGTAAGTCCAAGTCCAAACCACTCACTGTAGGATTTGGACAAAGGCTTCAACTCATCATGTCCCCAGGCAAACTCTTTATAACCTTTCCATGCATGGCGGAATGCTTCTATTACTGCCATCTGACGTTCATTTATGGGCACTGTGAATGGAAAACACCACCTTAAAAACTCAGAGTTATGCACCCCCATGAGAATTATATATGAATGCTTCCCCGCCCCACTCCACCCCCCCCCAAAAAAAATCAGGAGACCTCATCTCCGCAACTAAAGATTACATTACACTAACTCCAGTTATCTGAAGTTATTCCTTTTTAATCAGGTCTTTCAAACTGCAGTGTGTCAATATTCTTAGCCAATGATTTAATGAAGCAGCAATGAAGTTGTCATTAACATTAAACATTAAACTCAGCCCCACAAGAACAATATTTAGAGAAATACATAAACTGTGTTATTGTCAAAAGAACATTATTAAGATTGCCAAGTCAAATGCTTAATTTGAGATCTCTCAGAATTAAGGTTGTATGTACAAACTCAATTTAGTCCTCGTGTGTAGGGATGTTAAATAACGGTTAACTGAATAGTCAATTAACCTCATGAATTCTTATTGGTTAGTCGACTATTCTATAGTCCCTGGAGGTGGGCTGGCAGCTAGTGCGCTTCGGTCCCACTCCAGAGGAGCCCTTTGTCACCCCATGCTGCTGTGTCTCTATCAGAGGCAGCAGCGCAGGGTGCCCGGCGGGAGCTAGTCTGTGAGGGGAGTCCTTCGCTGACTGGCTGCCTGCCACCCTGCACTGCTGTCTCTGATAGGCAGCAGCGCAAGGTGGCATTAGCCCCTGTCGGGGGTGGGGGTGGTGGTGCCTGAGCTCCCAGAACCAGCACGAGCTGGATCTGAGCCAGGCTGCTTGCCTACATGGCTCCTAATACACTTTGAATGCAGAGCCGCAGTGGGGGTAGGTGTTGGACTCAGTGCAAGCCAGGACTGAGCCAGGCTGCTGGCCAGCCTGCTAAAAAATGTAATGGCAAGGGGGGAGGGGGAAAATGCATGTAGTCTATAGCATTAACCTATAATTGCTGATCGGTTAAATGGTTAATTGACTATACTATTACATCCCTGCTTGTGTGCATGCATTATGGTACAGTTTTAATTACATTATCATAATTTTTTTCTTCAGAATCTCTTATTATTCATCTCTTGTCCAATTTCAAGTCCCTGCTTTAAATCATGGGAGTGCTAAAGTTTTTCAAAGACAAGGCCACCAGAATTTAATATCAGCAAAACGGACATTTTTCCTAGCCTTGATTTTGAAAATAAATCAAACTATTTTGCTGAAATTAAAAATAAAATAAAAAAATTCATCCTGAGACAGACACAGCTGAACACAAGATTTTGTTATGTGCATGTCTGGCAACTTTAATTATAGGTGGTGGTTCCAATCCCAATATATTAATGACACTCAGACATCAGGAGGCCAATGCACAGCGTGCTATTACACTAAAACCTAGGCTTTGAAATAAACAAGAACTCCCTCTGACAAGCTCATCAGAGAGCATATTCCCAGATTCTTTGCGGCACTGAGAGCAACTGCTGCAGCTACCTATGCTACTCCTAGTAGCTCTCAGAAGCAGCATGTGATAAATTAATGGAGGAAGTCACTTCCCTCCCCCGGACCAGTCTCCAAAGTTCCAGTGAACATTCGTTGAAAAAGAAAGTTGTCCTTTTCAAGACATCTCTTTAAACAGTTATTCTTCCAAGGGAGGGTGCTGTTCCTCTTGGGAAGTTGAGCAGAGAAAAAAATCGGGCCATATTGCCTATTTTCAGTGACACCCCCATTTCTCAATATCAGGGAAGAAGGGAAAAAAATCAGGCAAGCGAGGCCAAAGATAGGTGTGAATGTCCATTTAAACAAGGCAAAGGTAGTGAATGAAGACATGCAAACCTGGAAAAAATAATGAGCAAAATATATTTATATGCAGGGATTAAATGTTTCACCAATGGAGAGTATGTACATTTTGCAGAGCAAGGAAGGTGGTTGAGAGCAGGTGTCTAGTGTTCACCAACACAGAGTAGACAACAGCGGAAACACAATGACCCTACACTAGAGTATGTTTTTGAGAGGCTCATGGTTATTGTCTTCTCCTGGTATGGCAAAGGAGAAGCTAATATCCATGAGTCTCTCAAAAAACACTCCCTAATGCAGAGCCATCCTCTTTCCACTGCTGTCTACTTTTACGGGGAGTGATGCTGTTGCAGAAATAAAGGCAGCTCTCAGCATTATTTGTGAATCAATAGAAACCTTGAAAAAACAACAAGGAGTCTTGTGGCACCTTATAGACTAACAGATGTATTGGAGCATAAGCTTTCGTGGGCAAAGACCCACTTCGTCAGATGCATGTCATGCATGCATCTCATGAAGTGGGTCTTTGCCCACAAAAGCTTATGCTCCAATACATCTGTTAATCTATAAGGTGCCACAGGACTCCTTGTCGCTTTTGGAGATACAGGCTAACATGGCTACCCTTCGATACTTGAAACAACATGCACCACTAGATTGTCATAGCAGATTAAGGATGCTGCAGTACTTAGACACTGCATATGAATAATCTCTTTTCATTCAGTTCTTCCCCACAGGAAGCAACTCTACCTCAGCTAAAAAGAGCACATTTAATTAAAGAGATGGCATAAATGTGACTGTGAACGTGAATCAGGAGATAGAAACATCTACATCTCCCGGTCAGTAATGAGAAAGATAGTGGTCTCTAGCCTACTACCTGGTTCTTTCTGGTCTTCCACTTCCACAGATGAAGGTTTTTCTGGTTCCTTTATTTTACTGGAAGGAGGTTCAGTGCTTTGATCAGGTTCTATCACTGCTCCTCTCCAGCTGCAAGTACAAGGTATTTCAATGATATTTAACTAGATTTAAATTGAGACAAGAGTGAAAATGAATTATCCTCTTCTCTACTCTTAAACATTGTTTATTTTATATTTTCACAATAGCATGAACAGGAAACTAAATTACATTTTGATCATAGCACAAAATAGGAAAAGGTCAACTTATTGGCTCATTAATCTTTATTTGATGTGATTTCTTCCAGACAAATGGTAATGAACCTTATATAGAACTGAATTAAGAATGTATGGCAACTGGCAAGGCTTTTCTGACTCCATGAAATTAGTGCTGCTGTAATGGAATTTCTTAAAGGAAAATCAAATGTACAAAACACAAAATGAGCGAAAAGTTACTGCATTTGAATTACAGGTGCTGTCTTTCAGGTTTGAAATTATTGCACAAAATAGTCACACCTGATTAAAACAGTACCATGCAAATGACCATTCATAATTCAATACTGAACACAGGATAGCAGCAATATAAAGTACTTAGGTTACTGAGAAATTCACATGCTTTCCTCACCAAAGTGACAGAATAAATCAGTTTGGAAAATAATTATATAGTGAGAGTCCTGAAGGTAAAACCTTATAAATAGGACCAACATCAAGAATGGCTCCTGTTTAAGGCTAGTAACTTTGACAACATCTTTGTACAATAACTCAATTCACTACAAACTTCTTATCCCCAGAAGAGCACTGTTTATAGGCCCCACAAAGTTTGTATGTTATTGCACTAATACTGACATAGTTACTAATATACTGCAGCACTACAATAAAGTTGTCTTCCCCGATTTCCCGCCATTGCTGCCAACAGTGCTGCTATACCAGGTAGCAGTGATGGAAGCTCCTCGGTAGATAAGATTCTACAACCACTATGAGAGAGTCCAGATCAGGTTCTCAAACTCCTGGCCTGAGCGCCATCTATACCCTGAGCACTTTCCCAATCTGGCCTGCCAAAAAGTTATTTAATCAGGCCCATGCGGCTACTGGTCCTGAGACCCCGGGGGGCGGGGCGGGAGACACGGATGCAGGGACTTACCCTTGCACACAAATCCCCGCAACTCTCGGGTCCCCAGAGCCCACACAGTCCAGGCCAGAGAACATGCTGCTCAGTACAGGAAGCTTTGCTGGCTGCCTCTGCCATGATGTGACCCACACTGACCACAGGGAGCTACCTGAGCTGATGTGCTTCTGCAGCCAGCGGGACAGGACCAGTGGGTTTTGCTTTCATTTACCCCAGATAGGGGAAGATGATCTCAGCACCAGGATGCGGATGTTAGTGGGAGGTGGAGAAGATTCCAGTTTAAGGGAATGGATGTTAGCAGGAAGGAAGGGGCATCCCAGCACAAGGACATGGGGATATCAGTGTGAAGACTCAGTTTCATGTCTTTTGTAGGATCCTCGTATCTGTCTGGGCTCCCGGACACAGGGGGGACACACTATCAACTTGCATGTATTGTATTGCCAACTGCAAGCTTTCAAACCATGAGACCTAAAGTCTTTTTTTTATTATTATTATTATTATTAAAAGGAAGAAGGCTGGGATTCTGTACGACTATCCTCCATCAACAAACAAACATAATCTGCTAAGTCAGAGTGATCACAGTTGACAGTGGTGCATGAGGCCCCAGGTAGTCAAGTTTCCAGATCTGGCTTAATTCTAATAACGTGGCTGGTGCGTCTCAGAAAAAAAAATGCTCCAATTATCAGGAGGCTTGTGATCAAATCTAGAGAGTTGGCATCACTGATGATTGGCTCTGCACCCATCTCCCCCAGTCCACTGGGACATGCTGGCAGCAGCATGGAGCTAGCAGCAGGAAGCCATTCTAGCCCTGCTGCCATGCCAATTGTGGTGGTGGGAGCCCCATGGCAGGTTTTTAATTGCCCAGGGTCTGCAGAAGGGCCCAGGAGATGAGTGCGGGGGGAAAACACGTGGAGACTCCCCACCCTCCCAGAGCCCTGCCAGAGGGGATGCCCGCTAGCCACTAAGAGGATTTGAGACCCTAAGGTAAACTGATTTTGAGACACCTGATTTGAATGATGTGATGGCTAGGACAGTAGTGTAGCCAAGTGCTACTGCTATTATCAACTGAGCTACACCAGTGGCAGCAAGGGTGAGAAAAATTTTGGGAAATTATGTCTAGAGTAAGCTAGGAATGTAAAACCCCATTTAATTGGTTAACTGGTTAAACATATCGTTTAACTGGTTAACTAATTAAAGGAGGAGTGGGATGGTAGTAGCCCCTCCCCCTTCTGCCACTGGGCTGGAGTAGGAATGCTTATCGGATAGTCAGTTGACTAGTCGATTCCCCCCCTTGCTGCTTCTATCAGATAAAGGCAGCAAAGGGGGGAAAAGAGGGGGTACTTCAAAGCGGCAGCGCCGCACAGCTGAGCCTGGGATCAGCTGTGTGGCCCCCAGCTGATCCCAGATTCCGCTGAAATTCCACGCGGAGCCCAGGAGCAGCAGGGGAGTCTCCAGCTGATCCCAGGCTACATGCTGTGCTGCTACTTTGAAATACACAAGAGCCCCTGCTGGGGACTCTTGTAAATTTCAAAGCTGGCATACTGCAGGCAGCCCGGAGCAGGACTTCCCATTGGCCCAGGGCTGCACACTGAGTTCTGCATTCCTCCTTTGAAACGTACAAGAGCCCCATTGCTTAACATCCTTAGGCTGGAGGCCCTTCCCCATTCCCCGCACTGAGGCATCAGGATTAAGATAATGATGACTGTGCTACTGTATTAACGTCTAGTTGGTAAGAGTGAAAGAATCCTACAGACTTTTCAGGTAAAGGATTGTATCTACCTGTGCATTTGTACAGTGCTTAGTCTAATGGGGCCTCAAATCCTGAAGAGAGCCTTTGGGCAACAAACACCAAGCAAATCAATCTAGCAAACACAAAGCCAAAGACACATAAGTAAAGCAACTTTCTAGGCAGACACTGAAAATCTCACAAATTTGTACATTCGTCTTATTCCAAATAGAATCTGAGAATAAAAAAATAAACCTGTAAGATTGCTCCAGCAAATTGTAACTTGTTGGAAACATTTCTACCTACCTAATAATGGACTTTTCTGTTTTCTCTTCTTTATCAGCCTGGCTGGGTACTTCTTCAGCCTTACCAGCAACATTTTGGGCCTTTACCCTCACATCTCTCCGTGGTGGCCTAATCTGCAGATTAGGAGGGCCACGTCGGACATGAAGCAGCTTTGGATGTTTCTAAGAAAAAATGGCAAAAGTAAATCTACATGCGTATGACCTACTGGTTGGGTGGCCAATGTCCAAACCAAAAGCAGTCTAAAGTTGTACAACACAACCTAAGGACACCCTCATTTTTAATACAGAAATGTAGTCCAGGGCACTACAGGTCACAGCATGCAACGTTTCATCTCAATCAGAAAGGCAGAGGAGGAAGGAAATCACATTTGAATTTTTTACCTCTGGTAAAATTGTACATAGCTCCTTAGGTAACAGTTATCAGTGAAGATAAGTTATAATCAAACTACTAGTATCATTACCAAATATGTATATAACACAGGGCACTGTCAAAAATGTGTAAAAAGAAATGAACTTATTATACACGTACATTTATGAGAGGGTGAAATAACTGACACTCGTTATAACAAAGATGTGTTAAGAATTTATACAATGCAGAATTGATCCAATATCATGCATTATTTTATACAAATTAAAATAAAGCACCACTTGAGATATTTTCATTTTAAAAAAAAAGAACCCTAAATTCCCTGAAGCAATTGTGTGAACAGGAGAATGTGTGCAGACACAGAAACACACTCTTTAAACAGAGTTCCTTTTTCCTATTACTCTCCCAATGAATTTTTGGAAACCAGTTTTGACCCTCTAAATGTAGTTCTATAAAATAAGTAACTTTCACGCACCTGCAGAAAATCTCTGTATTACAGAGCTACTAGATTTATTACTATTTACACTTATTTTGGGAAGCTGTTGTAATTTACCAGAGATGCTGACTATACCCTGCCTTATATTCAACTATATACACAGAGCCTAGATCTTTCACATTTCCAGCACTAAGATTTGGAGTGCTCCATAGCAGATTAGAACATATATTCCTGAATGGGAGTAGGCAATGGTGATATGCCTGGGCCAGACGTATCAGCACACCAGTGGTTTAGGAATGTGAAAGTAGAAAGAATTATAATGTAAGAGAAAGATGAATTGTGCTGTAATAATTGAATAAGTTGAAGGAATACTGTTTGTCTCTGAACAGGAAGAAGAAAAGTATGTTAATGTTGTTTGTAGGTATGCAGATCAATGTGCTAACCAGGTGGGCCTGAGTTAACAGGAAAAGGAACATTAAGTGTTAAGCAGAAAGCAATTAAAATAACCAGGGAGATATGGACCGGAGATTGCTGTGTGCTTGATGTTGAAATGAAGATACTTGACTAAGTCTCACACTAATCATGTGAAGTTTTGCCCCTCCTTTTAATCCTGTTAACCTGGCTTTCTTTTGACTGTATAAATCAAGGGGTTTGAACCTTGTATGGTACTCACATTTTCTGGGTTAATTTAGCAGAGCAGCTTTGCTGAATAAACAGAGCGGTCTGACAAATCTGAGAGTCCTGTCTAACTTTGACAGGAAACACATACTGAACACTTAAGATCACATTTAAACAAAGCCCATGTAATGTCACCTAAGAATTCCAAAAATATCCTACCCCTACCTCCCAAATGCTTTCACTATATACTGTATTAGTGCTCTATTCAACAGCTCAGTCTGAAGGAGCTAATCAGCTAAGAGAGTTCTCAGACATCAAAGCAATTTCTTCTCTCTTTAAATCTATGGATACAGACAAAAGCCAAAAATACTAACTGGAACCAAAACCCTTCTAGAGAGTGAAGTTCTCCACCCTTAGAAAATTAGTTTTTATAACAGGCCATCATTTTTTTCCATTACAGCTGTTGAAACTAAATGCTACTTGCAGCTTTCACAAACCCTATTTGGTAGGCTTAAGAAGAACATTTTCCCTCGCAATACCTGAGGTGTAAGCTCTGGGTAGTTGGTATCTGCTTTCTGGGGTGCTGGTAAAACAGCTGGATTTGCTGGTTTCAATCCAGGGATTTCTGGTTCTGTCTTCTGATCTTCTGATGATTTGTTTGTTAAACCTATATATAAAAATATACATTCAGTACACATTAAACTACCTGGCATAAAGAATTAACAGTAGATGCTAGCTGGAAAAATAAATCTTCCCCCCACCGCCATCAAATGTAGACAAACACAAAGGTGTTCACTTATCCTTATAGGCGTAGTGATATCTTTGCTTCCCCCCCCCCCAAAAAATGCTACAGAAGCACACAGATCTTAAAGGTCTAACTGAGTGTGTTAAATTACAAGCTTCATAATAATGAGAGGATTTTTTTTTATTTAATGCTGTAAAAAGACAGTGTAGAAGACTTGAACTCTACGCGTTTTTTGGAGACCGGTACAAGCCTTTATAATTCCAATGGAGAGATGATTGTTTATCTTACCCTCTTAGGCTGCGTCTAGACTGGCATGATTTTTCGCAAATGCTTTTAACGGAAAAGTTTTTCTGTTAAAAGCATTTGCGGAAAAGAGCATCTAGATTGGCACGGACGCTTTTGCACAAAAGCACTTTTTGCGGAAAAGCATCCGTGCCAATCTAGACGCGGTTTTGCGCAAGAAAGCCCCGATCACCATTTTTGCCATCGGGGCTTTTTTGCGCAAAGCGGTTCTCAGTTATCTTCACTGGCCCTCTTGCGCAAAAGCATTTGAGCAAGAGGGCTTTTTCCCCAAGCAGGAAAGTCATTGTATTTGCGCAAGAACACTGACGATTATACATTAGATCGTCGGTGTTCTTGCGCAAATTTAAGTGGCCAGTGTAGACAGCTGGCAAGTTTTTCCGCAAAAGCAATTGCTTTTGTGGAAAAGCTTGCCAATCTAGACGCAGCCTTAAAGTCTTCAGGTTAAGGCTGTTTTTCTTTTATTTTTTAAAACTCTGTACTGTGGATGTTTTCAGCCTCTAAACTCCTTAAAAGCCAAGACAAAATGTTACTTCGGATACTAGAAATGGATGACAGGAAAGGGATCACGGGATGATTACCTATTGTATTCCCTTCCTCTGGGGCATCTGTATTGGATACAGTCAGCAGGCAGGATATTGGGCTAGATGGACCTTTGGTTTGACCTAGTATGGCTGTTCTTATTGAGGACAAAGAACCAAAAGGAACCAACTTGAATTCAATTTTTTTTAAAAAGGGATGATAGGATAATTTCTACCTGAACAGTTGCAATAAAACTTAAACTTCATTTACAGGTTTGGGACCCATCACAAAGGTATGAATAAAGACATTACCTGGCAAGCACACTACCTTCCACATCCTAATGACTTAAGTATCCATTGCTTTTTTTTTTTTTTTTTTTTTTTTAAAAGAACAACTTGCACCTTCTCTATCAGCTTCATGTAGCATGAACATACTGACTTTTTCCACCTCTTTTCCCTCCACCCCCCCCCATCTCCAATTTATTTTAGAACTGGACCTTTAATAATTCCATTCATCTGAAGAAGTGGGTTATGCCCACAAAAGCTCATGATATCATCTACATGTTTTGTTAGTCTTTCAGGAGCTGCTAGACTATTCGTTGTTTTTTAACTTTTTCCAATAAAACTTATGTCACATTAAACTAAATTGTTGAATAAAATACATTTTACAAGGTGCTCAACATCTGCCAGAAAAAGTGTTATAAAAAATAACATGCAATCTTTTAACCATTTATGACATTTATTAAGGCAACCTTGAACTGCATAAAAGACGTACTTTTCCACTGTTCCCCCACGTTTGTATATGAAATGACTCCACAGACTGCCAAGAAGGCAAACAGGAAGAGAATTACACTCCGCTGTAGTCGAGATAGCTGCTTCCATTTCTTCAAGAAAGAAAATACATAAAAGAAAGAATCTTTCGCATGACAAGTAGAAAGCCAGCCCATTGCTGTCACAAACCCATAGAAGTTCTTTCAGAGCAAGAAACATGAAAACAATTTATGTGTAGTTTTCACCCTGTTTCCTTTTTCGAAAAATCCATCAGTTACTTTGTCATAATATGGAAAGCAGCAACACAGCATGCTAGCATACGGTAGGCTAGGTTTGAGAACAGTATCAGGGTCTCACACTGCCAGTCTGTAGAGACTAGAGAAACTGCACAGTGATAAATCTCCTGGATAGATCATCAGCTACAGTACACGTATTTTTACAGCAACCTTTCACTGGCTGATCTATGCATCTGCCCAGATTTTGATCTGGAAAAGAGCCAAGAGGCTCCTCCTTTCTGGCCAGTAAGGGGGGGGGGGGGGGGGGGTGTCTGTGTGTGAAAAAATGATGTTAGCGTATGCATCAAAGGAACAAGCTTAAAAATAAAATAAGCATTTCATGCTAGATAGGAAAAGCAAGACACAGCACCTTTAACAATCACTCTTTATGAACTTGTTAAGAAACCCCCCCCCCACACACACACACACACACACACCCCTTTGGGAAAGCGCAGTAAATCAACAGCATAGTTAAGAAGAAAATGAGAAACCCAAAAGTCTATTCACAATTAAGGATGGTTAGTTTTGCATCAGAATATGAAATTAGAAGCCAGAATACAGTAAAAAACAAACTTTTATTAATGATAGCATTTTGGATCTTGTATATTTTAGTGCCCCTGCACCATACTAACCAGTAATCATGCCATTTCACTACTTTTTTTTAAACCAAAGTAACAGCTTGCAGCTAACTTTTTGCACTGGTAAATCCTTCCCTCACTGTGCAAAGCAGCATTTGGGCACATCTATTTCCTAGATGCTCTTCTGCCCCACCATACTTCCCACAAACCTGCATTCCACTCCTCCCAGAGTTGAGACACCAGACGAATCCACATTGCCCCAAGCAATCACAGGCCACAAACATTTCACTGAAGACTGTCATATCAACACACTTAACTCTGTCAACCAGCACAGACATATGTTTCCTGTTATTCCCTAAACTGCTGACTCTGCAGCAGAGTAGGGATGTAAAATCCCGGTTAATCAGTTAACGGGTTGAACCCTGAGCACAGGACTCCCAGCTGCAGATGCCAGGCCACTCTCCCCATCTTCCCCCCACCATGCACAGAAGGGGGAGGAGGGTTGCAGCAGAGTCAGCATCCAACACATGGGGCAGCTGGCTCCTGCTCCCAGTGTGTCTCACCCCCCAACACGCAGGACATCTGGCTCCTGACCCCTATGGGACTGGCGGGCTGCTCCTGGGTACTGGTTAACTAGTAGGCTGTGTCTAGACTGGCCAGTTTTTCTGGAAAATCAGCTGCTTTTCTGGAAAAACTTGCCAGCTGTCTACACTGGCCACTTGAATTTCCACAAAAGCACTGACTTCCTACTGTAAGAAATCAGTGCTTTTTGCGGAAATACTATGCTGCTCCCATTCAGACAAAAGTCCCTTTTGCGCAAAAAAATGGCGATCGGGGCTTTTTTGCACAAAAGCGCATCTAGATTGGCCACAGACGCTTTTCCGCAAAAAGTGCTTTTGTGGACAAGTGTCCGTGCCAAACTAGACGCTCTGTTCCAAAAATGCTTTTAACGGAAAACTCATGATCCAGGGTGCCCTTTCAGTGGGGGGTATGGACTAGGGATGTGAATGGTTAACTGGTAAGCATCATCCTTCCCAGATGAGGCTTACAGGGTTACAATTAGCTGGTGGCCCAGCGAGGCTGGAGCAACCCACCCCCACCCCAGCTCAATGCAGGAGCGAGCTGCTCCAGCCAGGCCAGGCCTCCCTGCCCCTGCCCGTCCCCGTTTAGGCAGTTAACCTGTTTACGTCTAGACTGGCATGATTTTCTGAAAATGCTTTTAACGGAAAAGTTTTCCGTTAAAAGCATTTTCAGAGGAGAGCATCTAGATTGGCATGGACGCTTTTCCACAAAAGCACTTTTTGCGGAAAAGCGTCCATGGCCAATCTAGACGCGCTTTTCTGCAAAAAAGCCCCGATCTCCCCGTTTAGGCAGTTAACCTGTTTACGTCTAGACTGGCATGATTTTCTGAAAATGCTTTTAACGGAAAAGTTTTCCGTTAAAAGCATTTTCAGAGGAGAGCATCTAGATTGGCATGGACGCTTTTCCACAAAAGCACTTTTTGCGGAAAAGCGTCCATGGCCAATCTAGACGCGCTTTTCTGCAAAAAAGCCCCGATCTCCATTTTCGCGATCAGGGCTTTTTTGCAGAAAACAAATCTGAGATGTCTGCACTGGCCCTTTTGTGCAAAAGTTTTGCGCAAAAGGGATTTTTGTCGGAATGGGAGCAGCATAGTATTTCCGCAAGAAGCACTGATTTCTTACATAAGAGCGTCAGTGTCTTGCGGAAATTCAAGCGGCCAGTGTAGACAGCTGGCAAGTTTTTCCAGAAAAGCGGCTGATTTTCCAGAAAAACTGGCCA